TTGTCCTTGGAAAAACCCACAGAGCACTCCTAGGCACATTCCCACCCTGCTAAGTTGTTTATCTACAAATAACAGGAGAGATCTGCTGCGCCAGGTGTCCCTGACTCAGTCAGGCTAGGTGGAGATCCATAGCAACCCCCTAGCAGCCACCAATCAGCATGAGACAGGGAAATACCTGGGATGACAGATGACCCTCCCAGTAGTTTATGGTAGTTGATAACCTGTTGGGAAACCATGTAGTTCAGCACGTACACCCCTCTGGCCTAAACCAATCAGTTCAAACGAATACCCCTTTTGTACTGACCAATCACCCCTATCCAACTTGTTCCTGCCAGTGAATGTGCTAATCATGTTTTAGAGTTGTTATTTGATTTTCCCGAGGTGTGTGATGATTTGCTATGATGTATGTGAAGTCCCTGCCCTCTCCAAAGATTGTATAAAAATGCTGCAAACCCTGGGCTCGGGGCCTCTCAGCGTCACCAGTTGCTGTGTGTGCGTGCGGAGGACCGAGCTAGCTAGCAATAAACACCTCTTTGCTGCTTACATGGATCTTGGGTTTCTGGTAGTCTTCGGGGGTCCTGAATTCGAGCATAACACTTTCCACATTTGAGAGGGAACATACAATCCCTGATTTAATGAGTCTGGCTAGGTTTGTTTAACCTTATGCTTTCCTATTCCATCTATTCTCCTGCAAATGACACAATTTTATTCTTCTTTATATCTGAAAAAATTATATTGTTGACTTGAGCCACATTTTCCTATCTATTCATTTGTTTTTGACAACTACACTTGTTCTGTGACTTGGCTATTGTGAACTGCACTACCACAAACATGGGAATTCATGTATCCTAGAGCATGCTACTTTTAATTCTTTTGGATAAATACTGAGGAGTGTTATAGTTGGATCTTATGGTGGTTCCAATCCTGGTCATTTGAGGAAACTGCAGACAAGTGGACATAGTGGCTGTACTAATTTACATTCCCACCAACTTTACATAAGCGTTCCTTCTTCCTTTATCCCTTCTAGCATTTACTGTCATTTATATTCTTGATGATTACCATTATAACTATAGTGTGATGAAATCTCAGTACAGTTTTGATTTGCATTTCCCTGACATTGAACATTTTTCACATATTTATTGTCTACTTCTCCTTCTTTTGCAATTGTTTTTCTTTTCCGTGTGTTAATATGGACATTAGAGACTAAAGACTAAAAGCCTTTTAGATATCAAGTTGGGTCTCATTAGGTATGATTGTTAGGTCCTTTAAAGTCACCCTGGTAATTCTTACTGATCATAGAAGGAACCCTCACAATGCCACATTGCTGTTTAACTCCAGCTTTCAGAAAAACTTGATTTGCATCAAGTGCCCCCCAAAACAATACATGCCATTCACTCCTCCACAATATGATGTTATTACATGGCCTGGAAGCACTGAATATTGAACCACAGCTACAGTCACATTTCTATCATTCCGTACCACAGCACATTGTTCTTCCCAAGAAAAGGGAAGAAACAATTTCCAAGCCATTAGAAAACAGAAATACAAAGGATCAAAGAAGGATAAATAAATTGTAAAATTAAAAAAATACAAAGGCTCAATGCAACAGAGTTGATTTACATAAAGGAACTTTGAACCTAGTCTACATAGAGGGAAACAGTGTTCTTTCACAAGTTCTAATGTTAGTAACAGAAGAAATAAGACAGGAAAAATAAATCCTGCATGAAAATGTTACATTTCACTATGAAAGAGGCAAGAGGAAAATGAAATTCTCAGGGGAAGAAGAAAAGGCTAAAAAATGTTTGAAATGGGTTCATGTAAATTTAGGATTAAGGATGCATTTCAGACCCAGGATTTATAGCTGAAATTTAAAAAAAAAGAAAAAAAAGAAAAAGAAAAAAGACAAATGATGGATAAGCAAATACTAGGATCTCAGTGCTGAAAGGTTAACATCACCTGATGTATGTGGAAGTGTCATTAACCACTTAACCACCTGGACATTGTTCAATTTGTTTTTTTTTTTTTTTGCTAATGGCTGTTTAAATTTGTTTTAATTAGTTATACATGATAGTAGAATGCATTTTTATCCATCATACATACATGGAGTATAACTTCTCCTTCTTCTGATTGCACATGATGTAGAGTTACACAGGTCATAAGATGATATATGCACATAGGGTAATAATGCCCGATTTATTCTACTATACTTCCTACCCATATATGATCTCTCGTCCCTTCACTGCCCTCTGTCTAATCCATAGTACCTCTATTCTTCCTTAACTGCACCCCATTATTGTGAATCAGCATCCACATATCAGAGAAAACTTTTGGCCTTTTCTCATTATGTTTACTTTCCCCTGGATAAACATCTTCTGTAACAGAGGGAATTTACCCTATTTGGGGGTCAGAAAGAAAGTGTGTTGTTCTTTCCCATGAAATCTGTGTAAAGACTACTATCATCTTTACCTGGACTTTTCATTTTTCCTTCAAGAAAATAAATAGAAAAAAGTCACTTTCAAAGAGTGCTTGTTGTGTTTGCTTGAAAAATCTTCTCACATCCTGAAAGCCTTCCTTTGGACATGTTGTTTGCACTAGGCTAATTCAGCAACACAAAATGTATATGTGATTTGCAAAATCTAAATAATAGAAACTGTAATTGCTATTTTAAAAATGTATAGAGTGCAGATTGGATTTGTCATTTAGAAAGTTTGTATAGCTTATATATTGTTGCTTCAGAAATAAAATTATAAAAATTATATTTGTGAATTATACTAACTCAATCTGGCAGCATTTAACCTTAAAGATTTGTTAAATATTCAGTATTGTGAACTCAGAAATGAATTGCAATGTACTATGGAAGAGTTGTGGTAATTTTGTGGTATGTAAAAATATAAATTCTTCTTGGGCTGGGGATGTGGCTCAAGTGGTAATGCTCGCCTGGCATGCATGGGATGCTGGGTTCCATCCTCAGCACCACATTAAAAAAAAATTAAATAAAGATGTCATGTCCACCGATAACTGAAAAATAAATATTAAAAAAATTCTCTCTCTTAAAAAAATATAAATTCTTCCTTGTACTACATGAAAGAAACATTTAAAACACAATGATTATGCAAAAACTTATATTGGAGACATTGCTTTGATCATGAGTTCTATAAAGCTCATGTGATTATTTTGCATTAAAAACAAGACAGACACCCAAGTGGCTATTGATAATTATCAATTAGTATTCAGGAAATGATCATTTGATAAGTATTACCTCCACATCCTAGGATTTTACAGACTTCCAGAAACAGATTGGATTAAATGAATCTTGGAGTTGCAACAGAGATACCATTCTTAGAAGATACTTCACTATTTTATTGACCTATTTTTACTCATCAATATACACTTGGCTCAGAAATAAAACTCCCCCAAATGAAGACAAACAAGCCAAGACTAAATCAATGCAAAATGTAATAAAGGCATTTTATAATATTGCAAAAGTTAATTATCCAAGGTCTTTCCCTAAAGCATGGAAGAACTGAGATTTGTGAAACACATCTGGTACCAAGCACTTTTTTGCTACACTGTGCTATTTTCGAACATATTTTTTCATTATTGTACTAGTATTAACAATAAAAAATGCTTTGGGTTTTTTGTTGTTGTTTTGAAGTATAAAAAAAGGAGAAAATTATATTTTAGTTGACCATCCAAAAACCCATATGTTAGATGAATTGAAAATGAAAAATACATCTAAAAGTTGCAAGAATTAATAGTGTATTAAATACTGCTTACTAAGCCCCAGGGTATTTTAGTCTTATAAACAAAAGAGCTCAATTTTATAAACTGATAATAGTTTTAAACATTATGGATTTTATTGTCACCACTAAAAGTATATGTATTAACTACAGAAGAGAGAAAGCACTTCGATTTCACAGTATCCCTGACTTAGAACACAGATTTTGCTTAATTACTTTTATTATTTGGTGGGGTGGCCTCATTTCTCAGGTATTTTAAAATTAAAGATAAAAATATCAGACACCTAATTGGGAAATAGGCCTTTTATTATTAAAGAAATGCAAATGTAATTTTGGTTGCCTTGAAATGGTGAAAGATGCTTCTTAAAGTTTTGTTCAATGTTATGATGGAGGAGAAGGGAACTCATTGAAATTTTTTGTGTTATTTCCAGTTTGAATGAAATTGACAATAAGCCTGGCTTCTCTAGAAGGCATGGAGTGATCCATATTGGTTGGAAAAGATGGAGAGGGGAGGGATATCTGGTTTCCATGGTGATACAATCCATTTTCTTGGCACATTAAGATTTTGAGGTATAGGCAGTATTCAGAACTGTAACCAAATATACTTTTTACATATCATTTTTTTTAAGTCAAAAAAAGCAACTTGGACTCATAAATCTGTAGTAGTAAGCCTTTGTACCTGGGGACAGTCAACACTATCATTTAATAAGGCCAACACGTTGGAATTCTTCAGACTTGTTTATTCTTTTCTTTTGTTGCATAACCATTATTGAATTACTGTTTCAGAAAATTTGTGTGGTATAATAGGATAATTTTGTTCATTTAAGTCAATATGTTTCTGGATAATTTGCTATGCATCAATTGCTATTCAGAATACTAAGTTCTACACTGACTCCTGAACTACTTTATTTACAAAGCCTTAAATCTTGATAAAGTCTCTAAATGCTGCAGCAGTTGGTAGATTTGCTTGTAATAATTCTAAAAAAAAAAAATGCCTTTAAAGTAGATTTAAATACAGAATGTCCTCAACTTATGGTTTGACTTATGAGGTTTTTGATTTTCTGAGGATGTGGTACACTTCCAGTAAAACCCATACTTTGCATTTCAAATTTTGATCCTTTCCTGGGTTAGTAATGCATGCTATAATACTCTTGTGATGCTCAGCAGGAGCAGAGAGCCTTCACTACCAGTCTGCCAAAGGACCACTAGGTAAACAACTGACACTCTATGTTGTATTGTGCTGTTAAGATCTGGTATGTGGTGTTGTATGAAAGGAGATAGGTTAGCATTCCCCTTGACAAGGATGGAAGAGGTTCTCGGGCATGACAACACACATCCGATTAAGGCATGCCACAAACTTCATGGCATCTAACCATCATTTTTCAACATGTTCAACATTTCTAGCAGTTAAAGAAATGCAAATCAAAACTACTATAAGATTTCATCTCACTCCAGTTAGAATGGCAGCTATTAAGAATATAAACAATAATAAGTTCTGGCAAGGATGTGGAGAAAAAGGCACACTCATACATTGCTGGTGGGACTGCAAATTGGTGCAGCCAAGATGGAAAGCAACATGGAGATTCCCTCAAAAACTGGGAATGGAACCACCACTTGACCAAGCTATCTCACTCCTTGGTCTATACCCAAAGGACTTAAAACCAGCATACTACAGGGATGCAGCCACATCAATGTTCATAGCAGCACAATACACAATAGCTAAACTGTGGAACCAACCTAGATGCCCTTCAGTAGATGAATGGATAAAGAAAATGTGGTATATACACACAATGTAATATTACTTAGCATTAAAAGAGAATAAAATCATGGCATGGATGGAGTTGGATAATATAATGTTGAGTGAAATAAGCCAATCCCCAAAACCCAATGCCAAATGTTTTCTCTGATATAAGGAGGCTGATTTGTAGTGGGGTTGAGATGGGGAGAATGGGAGAATTAGATGAACTCTAGATAGGTCAAAGGGGTGGGAGGGAGAGTGAGGAGACATGGGGTAGGAAAGAAGGTGAAATGAGATATACATCATTACCCTAAGTACATGTATGAAGACACCAATGGTGTGAATATACTTTGTATACAACCAGAGATGTGAAAAATTGTGCTCTATATGTGTAATATGAATTGTAATGCATTCTGCTGTTGTATATAACAAATTATAATAAAAAATATTTGTACGTGGTAGATTAGGTGTATTAATGCATTTTGACTTAAGATACTTTCAAATTGCATTGAATATATCAGGACATAACCTCATGTGAATTGAGGAACATATGTACAGTAGAAGTTCAGAATTTTGATATGGGACGTTTATACTACCTTCTCTTCCCTAATAACAGAGGTTATTAATTCTCCATATTTCAAAATACAAAAGTACTTACAACTTAGCATCCCTCAGGGATGTCAGAGAAAACCCTTAGGCAGAGAAATAAAGAGATGCAGACACTTGAGTTAGGAAACTTTCAGCAAGTAGAACATTCCCTATTACGTTTACAGGTGAATTCAGAGTAGAATAAGGTCTATGAAAAGAGATTTAATAAAATTTTCCATGTTCCTTCTCCATCCCATTATATATTAATCATAGCAATTCCAATATATCAATATTAATTTCCTTGTTTTATAGAGGTAGAAATTGTATCATTTTCTTAGGGAAAACATACATACTCATACATATTTTTTAACCAAGCCTTAATTTACCATTGAAGGTAATAAAAATATTGAAAAACAACCTTTTTTAGAACTTTGCTATTGGTCTGTAAGCACCATCAAACTTAATTGCTCCTAATCACACAGCTCTTATTGGACAATGTATTATACTCTTTTTTCTGTGTCTCTGCACTCACTGCAACACAGACGATCAATTTAGAGGAGTACTTTGACTGCCATGATTAAATGCAGAGGAACATCACTAAACTCTCTAGCTCTGTTTTTCTTAGGAAGTTCTGAATCCAAGATTATTACACGGGTAAAACAGTATGATTGTTTACTAATGCATGAACTATCCCCAGCTTTGCATGGGGTCACTTAAGACACCCCACACTAGATCCTAACACACACTGATGTAGCTCTACTCTTGGGGTAAAATGGTAAGAGACACCATAGTCTAATGATGTTTTTGTTAAGTAGACGTGAATATATTTAAATTCAATTCTGTGTAAACTCCTCCTCTCCCCTTGCAGCAAGATACTTCAGAACCAGACAGTACAATCCTTCTACATTTTCCATTTCCACTTTCTAAATTGATGAAAGAACAGACAGCATTTTTTTTGTTAGTTTGTTTTTATCCACATGTTTGAATGGTTCCCACTTATCTGCTGACTGACCCTGCTGCATAAGCTTTGGCATAACATTTAGTGGGTGGTTAGTTAAATGGATGGATAAATGAGCAGCAGTCTCAGCTATTCTATTCAGACCAGTGCCTATTTCATACCACTGGAAAAGCACAGAAACAGAGTTCTGTATACTTTGCTTTGCAGCACTCTCAGGCTACGAAAGGAGGAAGAACCAAGAAAATGCAGCCAAATCTTGTTTTCCTGAATGAAATCATTGAATAGGATATTCTACATCAAGGCACATTTGTGGATAAGCAAGTAATTGAATTTGGCTATCAGTTGCATGGGATGGATATATATATATAGGAAAGGGAGAACATGAAATATGAAATATCTTGTCTGGAAAGGAAGAACAATGTTTATTTGGTCTTTCATGGAACTATTAAGGATTTCTGATCATTAGAATGAGATTTTAAACTGATTGGTCTATGGAAATTCTGCTACTTTGGGGGTGAAAATTATGCAATGGATTTTAGTCCAACCCTTTGAAAAAACGCTATGTGAATTTATTCTGAGATTAGGAAATCTGACTATGAGAGTATTCAGGATTTTTTTTTTTTTTAGTTTAAATGATTCCCATCAGAAAGGATATATCTGTGAAATGCTTAGACAATTGTGGCTAATATAGCCTATCATTAATTGTCAGATTTAATTAATGGTTTCAGTTACCAGACGCAGACAGAGACCATTACACTTCCTCAAATTTACAAAAGACAGTTAAGGATATTGCTGAATCATATACTCTTCCTGGATCACTAGAGGAAATGGGGTGAAAATAGTAAGTCAGATAGATAGAATAATTGCGAGAGGCAGAGAGTATGCATAGTGTTTACTTTCTATTCAGATGTCATTCTGGGTGGGCTCAACTGTCTATGGCTATAGTAGGAAAAAAAATATTCTTAAGCAACAGCTTCTATATTGTGAAAAGATGAAGTTCACATCCACACAGAAATGTTTCCTTTAACTGTCGCTGTGCTCTTGTTATCATTAATGTCAACAGTCAGCTGAACTGATGGTGTTTCAAGGAGATACACACACACACACACACACTCATACACACACATGCTCACATGCATAAACATAATACATATATGTGCATCTTAATGTGTATGTTTATGTGTATTTGATATGATATATCACACAAGTGTGTGTAATATTTGATATATTGTGTCTTAAGCATGCAAATTCAAGATGGTGTAGTCTCTCTTCAAGGTTCCATGCAACCAACCACCTTCCCTGACTTCTACACATAACTTTACCAGGGTGAAAACCCATGGCTCCATCTTAATCAGTGCACTGTATTTTTTTCTTTAGTTTTTATGATTATAATACCCATGTTATAAATCAGAGCCCTGTTGACAAAATCCAGCAGTGAGATAAGAAATCTTTTTTGAGAACAATGTTTAAACTTGTCAGGTTTCCATTACACTTTTGGTCCCAACTAACTCTTTAGTTTAATAAAGTGAAATTATTATTATTATTATTATTATTATTTGCTACTGAGGATTGAAGTCAGGGGCACTCAACCACTGAGCCACATACTCAGCCCTATTTTGTATTTTATTTAGAGACAGGGTCTCTCTGAGTTGCTTAGCATCTTACCATTGCTGAGGCTGGCTTTGAACTCTCCATTCTCCTTCCTCAGCCTCCCAAGCCACTGGGATTAGAGGTGTGCACCACCACACCCAACCTCTTCCACCTTTTTTTCCCCTTCACTTTCAAAGAAATTTGCCCACTCAGCCATAGTCGGGTTAACTTCACTACTTTTTAAAATCTGAATATATAACTAAAATTTTGGTATTTATACCCCTTAACTTTGATACATTTGTCAGTTTTAATCCATAGGCCTCTTCATTAATTCCTTATTGACTGACATTTTCCTATGCAATGTATTGCATTAGATGGTGAATCTCATATGCATGAATCTAAATGCATCTGTTTGTATTTATACATGAAATAAAATAACACCTCTGCATGTATTGTTTATTTTTCCATTATTGAATGTGGTATAATATTTATGTTCATAAAACTTGTACACTGGTAGTTCTACAAATCTAGGTTGGTAATAAAGAGCATATACATTAATTGGCTCTGAATCCTTTTTATTAGCCAAACACACATGATTTTATGCACATTTTTATTATATCCTCACAATAGGGATAAGAGTCTGAAGGTTAGCTCAAGGTAGTTTGAATCCAAACTCAGTCTTTTTTTTTAATTGATAATTCAAGGCCATTGTGTTTCTTAATTGCAAGATTATAAAAATATTTTTGCTCTGTAAAGAATCCTCACTCATAGGTTTTGTAGTAAGTAGAATACACACACACACACACACACACACACACACACCAGGGGTTGAACCCAGGGGTGCTTAACCACTGAACCACATCCCCAGTTCTTTTATTCTTTTATTTTTATTTTTCATTTTGATACAGAGTCTCACTAATTTGTTTAGGGCTTTGCTAAGTTGCTGAGGTTGGCCTTGAACTTGTGATCCTCCTGCCTCAGCCTCCTGAGCCACTGGAATTACAGGCATGAGCCACCACACCCAGCTTAAGTATATCTTTTGAAAGCAAAGCATTTCCTCCAGTTGGTCTTAGAGGTCTGACTTAAAAGCACTCTGTCAGCTTGGGCACCATTGGCAACCTTAAAAATGGAGATTTTTCTCTGATTAGCAGTTAGTAAGAAAATAGGATTCTCAGGATTATATCTACAAGGAACTAAATTTTTCTGACACTGAATTGGCTTGAAAGTGAATCCTGACATGGGGTGGTGGCACCTTGAGTGTGTCCTCTCAAGCCCTGATTAGACAACATATCTATGTCTGACTTAGAATTATCACCTACAGAAACCAAGAGATAAGGGATAATTGTGTTTAAGCTGCTCTGCTAAGTTTGTGGTAATTTGTTACACAGCAACACAGAAATAATACACTCTTTAAGTAATTACCTAAATAAATGAATGTCAGAATGCCTAACTATGGTTAAAACCACATATATGATTGGAAGGTAAGATATTAATTTACTAATTGCCCTAT